TGCTCTCAGCCCTGCAGCACCCGAACAGCCCCAGCAGAGCTTTCACCTGGGTGTCTTTTCTATGTGAAGTGTGAGGTAACAAAACAACTATCCCTTCTCCTCACTGATGATACCCAGTACACGAGCTGGACCTGCACCAAGCTGGAAGGGAGTGAGCAACAGTGGCAACAGCCCTTTCCCCACCTGCACTCCTGAGTGCTTCTGGGGCACGTTTGAGCTTTCTTGGCTCAAAAGCAGGTACCAATAAAATCAGCAGCAAAAACTCTGTGACAGGTAACACAAGTACAGGTCTCACATTTAACACATGCCGCAGTAGCACTCTCTTGTTCAGCTGTTGGCCTCCACCACTGAAGAATGAGACAAGAGCAATGGGGTTACGGAGGAAGAACACAGCACTAAAGTTAAATAAATAAATAAATAATCAGCCCTGCCTTTACCCCTTTGTTGTTCAGTGCAGCAATCACACTGCCTGAGGAAGGCTGTAGGCTGTGTACAGACCCATCCAGCTACTCATGATCAGCCCTGCTTTTACCCCTTTTTTGTTCAGTGCAGCAATCACACTGCGTGAGGAAGGCTGTAGGCCGTGTACAGACCCATCCAGCTACTCATGATGAGCTCAGAAATGAAGTATCAAAATACGGGCAAGCAAAGAGCTTGGATCATTTCTACAAGGGAAAAGAATCCAGCCAAGTGATTAGTTTACAAGATTTTTAATTTACAAATAAAAAAAAACCCTACAATTCATTTTTTCTCTTTTTTCTCCTCTTTCTTAGCATCACTCTTCTCCTTTTCTTTTTCCTTCTCATCTTTCCTCTCCTTTTTGCTTTCTTCTTTTTCCTGTCCTTCTTTCTTCTCTGCATCCCTATTAGCAATCTTGTTGTTAATGAGGTTGTGCAGAGCAACCACAGAACGGATCAGAGAAGCCAGATAAACTACCACCATCTGGTCGTTGGTCTTCAGGTAAAAGGCCTTGACGAACTCCTGCAGGTTGACATCTGGTAGCAGGTTGAAGACGTCCTGAAGGTGGTAGATGATCTGGTGGTTGATGGGCAGCTTGCCCATGGCTACTTTCTCTAAGTAACTCCTGATGTCCAGAAGCTTGGAGTTCAGTCCCTTCAAACCATGGACCTGATTTGTGATCCGCTGGGACAGAGTGCCCACTGTTGTATCCTTGATGTCTCTGAAACATCCAACGACAGAAACAATCAGCTTTGAAATGTTACTTTGCACATGAATAGATTTTTTTTTTCCTAGCTTAAAAATAGAACTACTATTTGAAGCACAAATGAAGTGCAATTAAACTGAATGCTTCAAGTCAAAGACTGAGAACAAACTGATTTCCATTTGTACACTCAGAAAGTGGATCTAACAGTTGATTGTTTTTGCTGTATACTGTTGCACGCATGTGTTCTCTTTGGAACAATACCAGTCTGATGTCTAGAAATAAAACACCAGGATTTTTGACAGGTGAAACAGCTGTAGAGTTCATATAAGGTGACTACTCTTTTTTGGACAGGAAATCTTTGCTAATATGTCAGCTACTGCTGATAGAACAGCAATACTTCATTTATAACTGCGCTGAGAGATGTACAGTGGCTTGGAGCAAGTCCAAGCAATGCAATCTTCTAACGCTTTGACAAAGACTAATTGCATTTTCATCATCTGCTGAAATTTCACTAAGCAAACACACATTTCACTATCAATGACTGAATAAGATCACAAGACTGCTAAATTAATTCTCTTTTAAAATTTAAGTAGCATGCTTCAAAAGACCTGGTTTTCCTCCAGGAAGCTGGCACCGAATGATGCCAGATGGATCCTGTTCACCACTATGCAAATGTTATAAGAAAACTTTCCTTGTAAAAACATTTACCGTAACAAGTGTTCCACACCAACTTCCTCTGCCTCTTCCGCTCCGATTTCACTGGTGACGTGTTCGAAGGTCTTGGAGGTTGGAGTGCCATCCTGCGAGGGCGAGAACCCAGGGACACGGTTAGACCGGAGCCGTGAGCAGGAACCACCCACGAGCAGGGGCGCCCCTGCAAACTACGGGCACGGCTCGACCGGGGGACGCGAACGGCCCTGAAACCCTGACTTGCGTGGCAGGAGCTGCAAAAGGTGAGAAAAATAGGAAAAAAAATAGAGCAAAGCAGAGTATCAGCGGACTGAAGTACGCAAGTAAGGCAAGAAGATTAAGTGCCACGATGCCTTTTAAACACGTAACATTTTGCATAGAGAACTTGTTAGAAACTATGTTAGTGAGTCTAGCAAACTAGTTATATATAACCCCAAATCAGCAAGGACTCTGGTTTGAGTTTTCTCTCTTTAGCTGGCACTTCACTTCTTACATGTTCTCTGTTGCTGGTGATTACTTCTTCCCTGGCCTCTGCATAATTTCCAACTAAGACACTTTTTGCGGGTTTCTGTGCTGCTGGGTAGAGTATGGAAAATCCTGCTAAATGTCATGATAACTACTGTCCTTCCTCATTATATTATGGGATACCTTCTGTCACCCTGATGCTCACTTTCAGCAAGTTACAAGCACACACACAGAGTTCCAGAAAGAAATACAAATACGGAGCAATGTCATTCAAGTGACAGTTTATGCTGTAGAGATTAAGGAAGAAATTTAAGAGATTTAAAAGCTGAATCACTGAGGATGAGATTTATCCATGTGTGTTCCAAAATATTACTTGGCTCAGCATACAGTCATAAACAGAAAGCACTACTGGGACTATTGAGAATTCCCAGAACTAAGAACACCTCCTGCACCTGCGAGACTGGTAACACTGGGAACAGCAGCTTCTCCCTAGCCAGGGCCTCAGACGGGCAGGAGACTCAAGCTCCTTTACAGATCTCCAGAACGCATTAAAAAAAAACCCTACAGCTGTGAACGAAAGCTAAAGCAGCTCTAGTACTCGACGGTGCCTGTGTGCACCATGGCTGCAAGTGACCAACAAGTGCTGCTCTTGCCTGACCTACTTGCTCAGCACCAGCTGCTGGACAACCCAGTCGGCGCAGCTCCTTCTGCCAGCGGGCCGAGCTGCACGAGTGACAAGTTAGCAGCATTCTGAGGGGACTCTGCTGGCTGCAAACACGACAGAAACAGGGAAGCAGCAGCTGAATCGCAACAACGGCTGAGGCTGTGGAATTCCTTAGGTCAAACCATAGAACACACCTCTTCCTTCAAGAGTGTTGATGGATGAAAGATTTAATTACGCAGGCTTATGTTCGTGTTGGGATTTAAACTCAGTTCACAGGCCCTCGTTCACAGCGTTCCCCATAAATTCAAAAGCAGTCAGATGCCATGGGATGTGCACCTCCCAGAAAATAAGGCAATCCTTTCAACAT